ATGAATGGACGCAGCCTCTTGATTTATACTTCTGTGCTGCATTGGTCTGCCTTGTGTCCCTGGCCCATGGTGCACACAGTTCCCCCGTGGTACTTGCTGGACCGGACTGGTACTTTCTAGACTCTCTCCAACATGGGCTTGCTTTAGTCACCCCACTTGCCCACTTGCCTGCACCACTTGACCACTTGCCTGCACCACTTGACCACTTGCCTGCACCACTTGACCACTTCCCTGCACCACTTGACCACTTGCCAATCTTCTAGAAGGACTGCAGCTAGCCTTCTAGTCTATAGGTCTACGGATCGAATCCTGGCTACCTATAGACCTACGACAGACCTACCTACCACTGGCGGTTCTACAGGTCGCAGGTTCAACTCTTCGAGTTGACGCAGGTATTGTACACAGGTAAGTTGGGGAACTAGGGATCGAGCCCTGGGATCTACCTCAGCTACCACGAATCGGTGAATACCGTTTCACATTGCACTGGCCAATTGAATGTTGATATTATATAACCAGATGGTCTGAAGGGTTGGCCAGTGGGGCAGGCTAGGGATAGGGCACATACCAAGCGTAGGTGAGGCCTAGCAATAGGGATGGGCTCCTTGGGGTCTGGCTTGGCTGAAGTAATCTGTTGCTTATTACCCAAGCTCTATGGAGCTAGTCATCCATTTGCCAATTTGCCAAAAAACAAAGAAAAAAAGTCACAAGACAAAGGGTTCCTCGGCCATAGTGGAGGGCAGCACCCAAGTGACTTTTGTTTGTATTAGGTCCCTCCTGCCAGTGGAGGATGAAAAGGGCTGATGCTTTGCAGAGCAAACCGAAGTGAAGCCCATAAGGCCCTGTTGTACTTTCAGAAATAAAAACCTCTCGATCCTCACACTGCGCTTGAATCTCTTCTCTATAACTTTGTGCCGCTGTTATGATCCTGCCCAATTCTTGATACACAAAGCAACTTTGAGACAACTCCATCCATCGCCAATCAAGACGAAGTGTAAAAGACAAGAAGAAAATGAAGCAAAGAAGAAGAAAGAAGAGAGAAGAAGAAGAAGAAGAAGAAGAAGAAGAAGAAGAAGAAGAAGAAGAAGAAGAAGGGGAGTGGTGAACATTCTTTGATTGGGGTTCGGTGGAGCCGCATTGTGTTCAGCGGCATAGATGAACATGAGGCAGCACTAGAGTCGGATGTGTACGCTAGGGCGGGCACTTTGCCCAGCCGTTGAAAGAATCCACCAAGATGGGCCGGTCTTGCTCATGATCTTCATTATAACTGCTGTTTGGTGATGGAGAAGTGAAGGGGAGTTGATTGCTTCGCACCAAGAGATCGAATGGCATTAGGCTTGTGAGCATGTGTGGTCATGGTACAGTCATTCCTGCTAATTTTTGCTGCATTAGGTCAATGTTGATCAATGGAAACACAATGTGCTTAGGATTTCTAATTGATCTTCATGGTATCCGTGCACCTACGTGTATCGACTGGTTGCTGTACCAGCGCTTGTCAGGGTGTCGCTCTCCCTCACCCGGCCTTCCTGCCTCAGCTGCTATCCACTCGCCCAATTGCCTTCCTGCCTCAGCTACTATCCACTCGCCCAATTGCTTCTGTTCTGTGAAAGATAGGTTGCTGCAATGACCCGGGCTCAAATCCAGCACACAAACATGCATTTGAAGTCTGAGTCAAGGCTAAGCATGAGAAATAGTCCATTAGAATGGCCCTCAATCCCGCAGAATATGGTCTATCACTCTATGTCCATATCTCAGTCAAAGACCTGTGGTATGCAGACCCTGTAGAGTCAAGAGATGGGGTAGAGCCTGAGGTCCAAAGTCTAAGGGTCGTAGTTTCTGACTTAGCATGGGTCAACAGTTAGTCATACAGACTTTGGTCAGGCTCTGCAACTGGTACGCAGTGAACCACCCCGATTCGACTCCCAAATTCAGCATCCATACACAGAAATTTCAAATGAAAATCCGCACAAGCCCATGAGGTTAACCGTTAAACCCAACTCAACGCGATGAAGAATCTTCAATCAATTATTATTATCATATAATACAAAGAAAGAGTCCAGGTAACCTGCGGCTACGGCCGCACTCATCCCCAGCTTCCCCACAGTAGGCAACCAACTCTCTCTCTCTCTCTCTCTCTCTCTCTCTCTCTCTCTCTCTCTCTCTCTCTCTCTCTCTCTCTCTCTCTCTCTCTCTCTCTCATGTGTAAGTCAGCTTCCCGAATACACATGCTAACCTAGGCTACTGTGGCTATGGCCTTCTTCTTCTTCCTCCTATAACCCTAGCTATGGTGCCGTCTCCTTCCTCCCTCAGCACAGGTCTTCATCCAACTCGCACTGCCGCACAAGCCACCAGCAGCGCTTCCGCAACTCGCGAATGAACAACTGGTTCAGCGTGTCACTGTAGCAGCTATAAATAGTACTTTGACTTGATGTTGCCTGCTCCGAACTGGTACTGGTCGCCCGCAGCCTGTCGGCTGCGTGTTGCCGTCCCAGAAGTCTCTGGACTTTCTCGGGACGCTTCTGCAAAATTGGACTTTGGGACAGGACTTTTTCTGTCGGGTACCAGTAGACTTCTATCTACCGATGACGCTTCCGTTCCGGACCCAACCGGACTACGATGCTTCGACCTACAGACCCTACGGGAACCCTAAGACCCTGGGACTGGGAATTACCGGGACCTAGTGGGACTGGGACTATCTGGGACTGGGCCCAGCTGGGACTCCAGGACCAGGACTAGGGACAATCATCACTCCTTCTCAAGGCATGTGAGTGGATCACGGTGCCCCCCAATGACCCATGGCCAGAGTAGTGCACACTAGCTACTCCAGGCAGTGTCTTATGGCCGAGGCCAAGGTCTTTCAGATATGAAATCCGTACAGCCATGACTAGGGGTCGTAACCTCTGGTCAGTCAAAGTTTTAGGGTCCAAAACTCACTTCCCTGACTCTGAAGAGGCATCAGAATGTCCCTTGGTGAATAGGCACTGGGTCAAGGGTCAAAATGAGGCACCGCATGCCTCCAGTCACTAGTGGAGTCTACGAAATTCAACAGTCAAGCCCTACCCAAGCACAGAAATCCAAGAGTCAAAGATTTCCCGGGAGTCAACCACGGCCACAGATCGCACACAAATCCGAAGGCTCAGTGCAGTTTCCAGAAATTTCCAAGGCCCACTGGTTTCAGGCACACATTGGCCGCGAGCAAAACTGGGCCACACATATAGGGAAATCTCAGCCCTTCAATGAGGCAAACTGGCGGCAGGCCAGGCCGAGTAAACAGTACGAACCAGCTCATGGATTCATTCTGCCTTGCGCTGCTACAGTGCACGTGCTACAGTGACGTGCTACAGTGATGTGCTACAGTGACGTGCTACAGTGAGTGCGAAAAAAGGCAGACCGAGAGAGTGAGAGGCTGCCATGGCGAGAGTGAGAGTGAGTGGTAGCCACAAGAGAGGTGAGAGGGGAGATCTGAGGTGGAGTCCAAGGCTTGGGGTGAAGAGGAAGCTTATCTGGAGACTGTGTCAAGTTGCATGCCCCACTGTCAACTAGGAGTGTTCAGCCATGGCTGCCGCAGAGAAGGCCAGTGGTTGCATGTGCTCCACGTTCTTCATCCACAACGCAAAGGTGGTGTTATGAACTATAGACCTTGTCAGGCACCAAAGAGGAGCGTCAGAGGTGGAGATTGGAAGGAGGAGGAGGCAACCATTGCTCACAAGGGTTGGCAAGAAGGTGTACAAAGCTTATATCTGTTGACTGCCGGCCATAGCTACCTGAGGAAGAAGACTCCAAGAGGAGGGAGTCCAGCATTCCTCGTCCAGCACTTCATCCTGTTGGTGCTTGTGCTATACAGAAAGTGGCACTTGTGCTACCGGTAGTGAGGTCAGGAGATGAGAGAGAACGTCGCCGCAGCTTCAGGGAGGCAATGTGGTCGGAATTTGGAGGAAGAAGAAGACTCCATGCGTCCGCAGAAGATTGACATTGTCATTTTGAGTTCCAGCTTAGTTGTGCTAGCCTGGGATAGCCAGCACTGTAAGGACGTTGACTCGGCAATTGACATTGTGTCCGTCCAGGCTGGTTGTAGACTCTTCGAGAGATGCAAGCAATGGGTGCGCGTTGAGGAGGTGAGAAGGATTCCCATGGAGCAGTTTGAACATTGTAATAATTGTTTATACATCTTGAGATAACTTCATGCTTTGATCTTCTTCTTCACGTGGTCTTACCTTTCTATACTGTCGTAATTTGCTTTCTTATCATTGAGTTGAGCAGTGTGTATTCAAGTGAGATCTGATTGTAAGTTTCTGAAGTTATGGGTTCATTACATGGCAGTTGTGAACGAACTTGCATGTGTTTCTTTCAGGTCTGACTCACAAGCTTTTTTTGCCCATTATACTTACTCGGGGATGCTTGTGTTGCGAATGTGTTGGCAGATTACAGAAACAGCCAGAGTACAACAGGAAGGAGTTAAAGTCACGGGCTTGAAGTGGGGAGAGAAAATGGGATCTGGAGATGAAACCACAAGGGCTATCAATATCACATTGATAATCAATTTTTTCGGTGTAATGATACTTTTCTTACATGGCAACCACTGGCTCGTTGCCCCACCTCTTTCTTCTCGCTCTTCCCTTTCCCTTTTCTCTTTTTATTTTCCCTCTGGGAATGATAACTTTTGGAATTGTCCCGACCACGCTCCTCCAAGGTTAGAGCACCTAAGCCACCATTATTGCAGTCTTTACTACTGAATCGTGAGGACGAACTATTAATAAGGAACAACGGTGCACTGTTCTCTGCCTTCATTCTTTTTTTTTTTTTTTTAAGGTATAGCCCCTAGCGGATCCAGTCTCTGGCGCCCAGTCTCTGTCTCAGCACGTGGCATTGGAGACGAGTCCTGCTCCTTCTACTCTCTCTCTCTCAGAGATGAGCAACGGGTACCCAGACCCACACCCACCCGCACCCACCCCACCCACGAGGCATTGGGTCAGGTGTGGGTCTTGATAAGCTGGCATGGGTAGGATGAGGGTGGGTCAAGGCGAGCAATTCTGGGTGGGTGACAGGCGGGTCAATGTTAGGCYAGGGTCACCCGAATGGGTGGGTGACAAGCGGGTGAACGATAGGCCTGGGTCACCTGACCCACAGACCCAGGACAACCCATAAGAACCTT